ACATTTTTCATATGCAATTTGCGTTGCTAATAATCAAGTGACCTTCATAAGTCATTATGTCATTACATTTTAATCGCGTTACATTTATGCAAAACCGGTATATTTACGTATTCACGTACCAGCCAGAATTCAGCGAGCGCGACAATCAATCGCAATATAAAAACTAATAATGTAATTAAATATATTAACACGATACTTACGGCGATTTTACCGCGTGCGTATGCGTATATGTAAACATGTTTCACTTCATAAATATCATCGATTAAAACTCCTCGCGACTATACTTATATCGCCAAATCGCTTGAGAGCTGTGCAATCAAACACGGACTTTGGCGTTCTATAGCTCCTGCCGCACGCTTTTATCGCCGAATACTTACAAGTGCCGAGTACTTGTCCGATGCTGTAATACTACCGATTGCCCTCTCGGGTATTAATTCTCCTCAAGTGACATTTCTCTCAGGGGCTCGATATATTATGGTGCATCTTTACGTCGATCTACAACGATCGATTATTGTCAAGTTTGAATTCGTCGCAACTTGTGGATTACGCGGAGTCTTTTGCAAAGCTGCGAATAAATCTTAGACAAATAATTTTACTTTAATCAATCGAATTTACTTTTTCATCCTTTTAACGTTTCAATTGTACCTTTAATCGAAAGATTCGATTGAATCAAATCAGAATAACAATTAACTTTTCAAGCTAATAAATAGAATTATAACTTTTTCTACACATTTTTTGCGTATAATTATCCGAGATAAATTAGGGTTTTTAATTATAAATTATTGTCTTTTCGATTAAACAGTTTTGTACTGATTGTAATTCGGATATCATATATCTAAAGATCTACCGAGTGACGTAAATATAACGCAAAGCAATGCAAATCATCGAAAAATGAATTATATTATACAAAATGGAGCAAGTGTGTTTTCGAACGGTATAAATAAAATATTTTTACGAACTATTATTTTCGAACGGCATTAGATTTGTTTAAACACGAAATCAGAGCATTCGTTTTGTATAAATAACAAAAAAACTATAAACTCATATGTGCGCAATAAAAATAAGTAACAATATATCATGTCATATATCCTAAGATTAAATTATCAATACCACTTTCATTAGTTTTCAAGCGAAACATTCCCCGCAGCACAAAGTGGACAAAATACAGGATAATTTTTACGAGCGCTTTTTGCTTCCAGAAGTTTGATTTATTCGATATATAGGTAAATGATAACCTAGGTGAAAGGGATGCTATTGTTCCCACGCAATATAGGCCCTATGTAACCGGAACGTTTTACCATCGAGACTTAGGTAGGTTTTGAACATTTCCCGACAAACAGTATACATTTCAGCACGTGCGCGCATCTTAACGATGACGGGCTGCGCCGAATAATCCAGTAGGCGAACTCGTGGTTTTGCCCACGACTCGAGTAGAATGGAAGCGAGTCAACGCTTCATCTACATGTTGGCCCGCGCCGATTTGCATTGTGCCTCACTCTGGGGACCCACATTGTGATGCGCTTTGTGCTGCGTGAGGTCGCGGCGGATAACGAGAGGCCGCCGGGCCGCGTATTGTCGCGTGGCCACGTATTATTGTGCGTTGTGTAGGTCTAGGTTTCCCCTTCCTCTTCCCCTCCCCGCCTCAACCCACGGTTGGCCGAGATGTCGCGATAAACCGGCATCCGATAAGGTTACCGAAACGCGCGTTAAAACGTCGTACACGTTTCTTTGCACGCCGCTGCCTCTTCCGCGCTTTCCGATGAAAAAAACGTAAGACAGAGGGGAAAAAAAAGATGCGAGCGCGCAGGTGAAAAGTGGCCTTTCCACCCCAAGAACGGGGTGTACGACGAATGACAGCGCGGAGCCCGAGGTCCCGCCTCTATAATTTCGCGACGAAATCGGGGACGAAGCACCGTGCGTAATTTGACAGATACGATTGCACGAGGTGTCCTAATAATAATAAATCACGACGGTGAACCTGAGGAGAAACAAATGGAAAAACCGAGCTCTAATTACGCATATTAGACCGTGATTACGCGAGGAGCGGAGATTTCGAAAAGATTAGGCGTCCGTATAATTGCGCGACGGGAGTCGTTAATTGTGAGAATTTTTTTTTTTAATAGCAGATTTTCGCGTCTTCTCGAGATTACATCTTTGACGCGTTAACTATCATTACTCACTCGCGTTTCTTGACCGCGCTTTTCCACGCGAAAACGTTATCGAAGGTATAACCATAATGATTCCGTAACGTCTGGCACTAAACGAGATAATCAAGACCTTTGGAAATTCGGGAGCAATTTATCTCCAGTATAGATGATAATTAATTGCATAAAACATCATGAAAGTGATAATTAACTCCACTATCGGAAAATTATTACGTTGTTCCAGTTTACTCTGCGAATTCGGTCACTTTACCTGACCTTTTTGTAAATTGCTTCGTATACAATATTAAAAGGCGTTGCAGCAAATAATTACACGCACATACACACAATCAATTTTTAAGGCTACGTCTCTCCTATCCAGGTCCATATTTTTTATTATTATCCGAAAAGAGCACAGTTAAAAAGATTAAGATTTCAAATGCAAATCTGGCCATGCTTCACTGACTATTTTTTTCTTTCTCTTTCATTTCTTGCAAAACGTGAAGCAGATAAACATATGTGCAGTGCATGCAAAATAAACGAGCGATAATAAACTAATGAAAAGTGCTCCTCTCTTTCTAACATAAACTGCTGAACTGTATATTTTGCTCTGTATTTACGATTTTCGTTTACTGACCGAAAACAAAGATAGTAATGGATTATTTTAACTTGCAGATATTATGTATATACATTCAAAAAATATATTTTTAAATATATTAAACTTTCTCCAATTTATTTCCGAAGTTAGTGCACGTTCTGGCGTTTTCGCGATTCCAATATATATTTTCATACATATTCAAATTTCCACGTAATCACGCGGCTTCGTATTACGTATATAAGCGTAATGAAAAATCGACGACGATGGCATCCGAGATAAAAGTGCAGCCGCAATTCGGTTGCATATTCCCGCGAAGATTTCTACATTACCGGTCGCGATTTCGCGAAGGCGGAATCCCGGCTCGCTGCAGATGGCGGTACGAAACGGAGCGGCGGCGTCGCTCCGTCGTACGCAGCAGGATACGCACGTTGTTGCGTTTTATAATATTTAATAACACAACCACACGATAGGGGTTTCGATATCTGCGGTGGCAACGTCGTCCGCGGCGTCTTTTATCAGCTTAAAACACAAGCGAACTCACGATGTGAACTTCATTGTCGAAAAGGCAGAAAAAAAAAGTACATACGTCTCTCTCCGCGGTCCGCTAAATGCGCCACCGCGACTAACAAGAGATACGCTTAGTAAACATTTTACGCTCTTCTCTCCAATCGGCCGCGAATCGATAGTCGACGTATGATTTAATTATTTCGCCTTCGGCGTGAGCTCGGAATTCGCCGTCGCAGAATGGTACATATTGTCGTTCGCAGAGAAAAAGAGAGAGAGAGAGAGAGAGAGAGAGAGAGAGACAAAGATTCGCCGTATGTAACGAAAACAATCAGCGGCAACACATGCGTGAAATTAATCCACGCTGGCTAGGCATATTTGTGCACGTTTATACCTGCCACGTGCAACCGTCATTGTACCCAGACGGATCAAAAAGAAAATGCCACAGACCCGATATCGCCGTCTTGCGAGTCAAACGGATTATTCTTTTATTTTTTTGTAAGAAATTACATGCACGCACGCAAACGTACACGCGCGTTCACACGTTCCCACACACGTGCGCCTATGATTAATGATCTTCATGATTTAATACGCCGTGCGGTTTATAGCGCAAAAAAAAGGCTGGCAGGTAGCGCACATAAGATGCGGCCGATGATGATAATCAGTCGACGATAAATCATCTCGCGCGACAACGAGGTAGTAAACAGTAATCGCGCGCTAGAGTCGAAGTAACGTCTCGCGAGGCGCAGGCAACTAGTTGCCAGTCGGATCTCTCCTAAGGCGTGGTTCCGCCGAAATTTCGTGGAATCGCGACGCATTCGAAACGGAGCTGCCGCACGTTTATTCCGACCGGCACACGTCGATCGAGAGCGAAGATTTCTCTCTCTCTTTTTCGCTCGTATAATCGGCGTCCGAGTCCCATATTGGAGATCATCAGCCGGCACGAATCTCCGGATTCCCCTGACATCCGCAAGGCATCCGGATTGCCTACCGATGCTGTCATTCCCCGTCCTCCGTCCTCGCGCCGCCAACTCCCCCCCCCCCTCTATCCCGGCCGGTCTTGCACGCAGTTCTACGACGTCAATTTCAGTTTTTCCCCCGGGATCTGCCGAGATCGCTCTCCTCTACCGGCGCGTTGCCGATCCCCCTGCCGTCGCCGCCGCCGCCGCCGCCCTTCCCCGACTCCGTTAAAACGCGGATCTACCGGTTTCTCGCGATTGCACGACGGCCGTGCAACAATCGCGAGACCGCGCCGAGCGCCGTCATCTCGCGCGCTCCGAGAGACAGCCGGAGTCATCGGCGAGGAGGATCAATAAATCACGCGGCGATACGCGCCTCGCGATGCGTCCCGGCGCATCCCGTCCTGCCGCGCGACCTTCGAGAGGGTTGAAGATTCTTTTTCGCTCTCTTTCTCTTTCCCTTTCTCTCGCATGCGCTCCGTTTCTCGCGGTCCATCGAAATCCGAGACCGAGACGTGACGTACGTGCGTACACGTACGTACGTATGTGTGTGTACGTGCGTGCCTCTTGGGCTTGGGTGCGTGCGTGTGCGTGCGTGCGGCTGCTGCGCGCTCGCGTATGCACGTTGGAACGTGTGTGTGTGTGTGGGTGGGCGCGTGTATGTGTGCGTGTGCACTCTCGCGCGCGCGGGTGTGCGCGCTAAGCGAAGGCCATGTCCGACAGGCTACTATGTACTACTCTGTGACGGATGACTTTTGAAAAGGTAAACAGGCGAGGGAAAGACGATTTGCTACTCACAGTTTTCCGTCGACGGTCCAGCCGCTCCCACACGATTTCCCCCGTCGTGCGCGCGTGGCCCGGTGATTATTTGATTTTGCACAGCAACATTATTGTGCGTCCAGTAAAAAAAAAAGGAAAAGAGAGGGAAAAGAGGGAGAAGGGAGGGAGGAGAGAGAGAGACGGAGAGAGATGGAGGGAGAGAAAGAGCGTGGCGAACGATGGGGAAAACGCAGGAGGGAGAGACGGAGACGGTGATAGAGACAGATCGGAGGGTGAAGAGGGCGAAGAGGGTGAGGTAGGGGAGAGAAAAAGACACACGCCGAGAGTGCTCGCTCTTGATCAAAAGCACAATTTTCGTGACGTCATCGGCGGTCGGGCATGCGCGAACGTATTTCGGTGATTTTCCACGCACGGCGAAACACGTGCGACGGGTCGGTCGACGCCACTGCTGCTACCGCACACAGCACTACATATCGCTAAGAAACGCGCGGCATTATCGCGTCGGAGCGGCGGTACGGGCTTCCACAAATACCGAGCGCGATTCGCGAGAACCACCGCGACTGCCGACATCTATCCATCCACTCCCACTTGTTAAGTGACGTACACTGACGTCACCGATAGTTTACCTTGAGGCCGCGTGACATTGAGCGGCAGGGCGGCCAATCGCGACGCCGCGAAAATCCCACGGCCGCGCGCGCCGCGCAGCCGAGTTTTCATTGCGCGCGACACGCGCGGCGCGCGATCTCTCGCTCGCTCCACCGAAGTCCGAAACTCACCGAATCGTCTGAATCCAAGCTCTCGTCGACCTCGACTAAACTCCGATTAAATTAATTAACGATTAATACAACCGACGGAATTGACCAGTAAACGAGAATGAATTGAAATATAAAAGATTTTAAAAAATTCATTTCAATGTTGGCATAATGCATACTTTTGAAAATCTCAATTCATTTCAATGCCTTATTTGTATTCATTTGTAGGAATTGCATGAATCACATTTTCTATGCCTATTCAATTAAAAAATATATATATTCAGCTTTAAAAAGTAAATCGTGAATACGGTTAATTCAAAATTCTAGATAGGAAATATCGTTTTTTCAATCTAATTAAATTCAAAAAAAGTTTTTCGTGAAAATGGAATTTTATTTATCTAAATCCAAAAATTATTTTTTGGATTTAGATAAATAAAATTCCATT